ACATTTACATCAGTCCCTAACCCTCAAGGGGTGTACAATCTAAGGTCCCTAACCTACATTCATACATACACATACTAGGGCCAATTTAGACAGGAGCCAATGAACCTACCAGCATGTCTTTGGAGGGTGGGAGGAAACCGGAGTACCCGGAGGAAACCCACGCAGGCACAGGGAGAACATGCAAACTCCAGGCAGGTGGTGCCGTGGCTGGGATTCGAACCAACGACCCTAGTACTGCCAGGCGGAAGTGCTAACCATTTAGCCTTAAAGAAAATGTAAAAAAAATTCCAGTATCTAGATCTATTGTAAACACTAACTTTCACGTAAACCAATTTACACGTATTGAGATTTTTTTTTTTAGCAAAGACATTTTGCCTTAGATGTATGACTAAATTTTATTTATTTATTTTTTATTCTTTTACTGGACATGTTTAATGGCAAAAAGTAAAAAATATTATTTTTTTTTTTTTTTTTTTTTTTTTTTTTTCTATAGCGCAAAAGATAAAAACTGCACAGGCGTTCAAATACCAACGAAAGAAAGCTCAATTCATGGGGGGAAGGACTTTTTTTTTTTTTTTAATTGGGTGACTTCTGAAGGTAATTGGTTCTACTAGATTTTAGTTAGGGGTATCGGCGTAAAGGGAGCTGAATACAAATGCACGCCACACTTTTCAGATACTTTTAAAAAAATTTTGGAAACCATTTATCATTTTCCTTCCACTTCACAATTATGTGCCACTTTTGTGTTGGTCTATTACATAAAATCCCAATAAAATTTACGTTTTTGGTTGTAACATGACAAAATGTGAAAAATTTCTAAAGGTATTAATACTTTTTCAAGGTACTGTACATTGAAGTCAATGGGTAGAGGGGTATTTTTGCATTGAAGTCAATTTTATTGACACTTTAAGTTTGTTTTTTTTTTTTTTTTTTTTGTCAAAACACCGATTTACCCTTTTGGCTGCCAATTTTATATTGGTGCATCAATTATTTTTAATCTGTCATGGTCCAGCAGCTCTGGCTCCCCTGTGTCAGGGTGGCTGCTGCAGTGGAGAGGAGGAAACACTGGCAACTGAGGAGCAATGAGTTGGTGGGTGATGGTGCAAGGAATTCAGCCATTGAGCACTTCCATTACATATAGGGCAGCCAGAGCTTCTGGATCGCATGACCACACAGGATTTAAGAAAAAAAAAAAAGAAAAGATATTTACACTGCTTTTTTTTTGCAGGATAGGAAGCAGGAGGGATGTTTACCCCCTTCCTGTCCAGGCCAATTTTCAGTTTTCAGTGCTATCACACTTTGAATGACAATTGCGCGGTCATGCAACACTGTACCCATATTAATTTTTTAGCATTTTTTGAGACAGATAAAGCTTTATTTTGGTGGTATTTATTCACCACTGGGATTTTTTTTTTTTTTTTTTTTTTTTTTTTTTGCTATGTAAATGAAAGTCCAAAAATTTTGAAAAGTGTTTTCCTTATACAATTTTACAAATAGTATTTCATCATAATTCTTGGCCAAAATTCTGTTTTTATCTTTTTAGTTAAAAAAAAAAAAAACACATTAGTTTATAACCAAACATTTTTAAACTTTTTTTTTTATATATATATTTTTTTTCTGTTTTTGTTTTTTTTTTTTTTTTTTTTAAATACTGTCACCCTAGCAGTACAGTGTCACCATGGTGACAATGTACTACTTGTGAGGGATGATGAAGTTTTTTTTTTTTTTTACACCCATAAAGGCTGTAAAAGCAATAATTTCTCCTTCTCTCTTGCTGCATTCTTGTAGCCATTGAGAACTACTGTGTGAGCTGTGATTGGCTGTTGTAAATAGCCTTGTACCATGTGACCTCTGTGATCATTCACAGATTTCACACGTAGCAAGCAATGATGTCACAAGTGACATCTTGCTTACTACTCTGCATGTGATCACTGATTGGCCAATCAGTGGTCACATGATCGTGACCTCGCACAGAGGACGACACAACGGGCACCGGGTCGCGGTGCTGTGCGCTCCCAGAGAGCGTGCACAAGCAGGGTGCGGGAAGCCTGTTTATATAAACGGCCACCCTACCCTGTACTGCCACCGTCCGGCCGTTTATATACATGGGCTGGACGGGAGGTGGTTAAAGACTAACTCTATCCTCTACACCACATTACACGTGTTTGGGTGAAAGCAGCATGGTACCAAGCAGACCTAAATCTCACTATATCGGCCCTAAATCTTTCTCCCAAACTGGGTAATAGTTTTGTGGGTTGTAGTGGCAGCACAGTAAATTGACAATGATACTTCGTCCTCTGCCACAACACAATGTATTGAAGGCAGAACCTTCCGATTTGGTTTTAGCATTTCTCACTCTGCCCATAGAGCAAGGCTGGACAAATCCCAGGCGACTGGCACTTGGGCTTTTGTCAGTCTCAGTGTCGGTCATTGCGCATGGCCCTCCCCCTTCCACTCGGTCAGCAATCGTGTCCTTGCCCCTGCAGAGCTGTGTGTTTTCCCGATGCAGGCTTCATGCTCTGCACGTTCCTGAGTGTAGCTGCAAATATATCCAGCGCTCATCTGTCACACAGGTAAGTAGATCCTGCAGAATGACATTGCGGATTGAGGGTGGGTAGAGGAAGATGGCACATAATACCTGGGGGTTTTCCTGGGCATGGGGTCATCAGTGCTGTGAGCTGGCCATTTCTGTGTGCTTTTGTCACCCAGCAAGGGGAACTGGGGGGTCATCCACTATGAATGGCATTAAGAATGAATGTCACAGCAACACCAAGTCGTTTCATCACTTGCTGTACCTCTTCCTTCCAGGGTCTATGGAAAGGCAGCCCTTTGCATCCTCATGACATCTACAGTGCATTGGGCTGTTTGGTGGCTCCACCAGTCCCAAATTCTAAGAAAATTGCACAGCGTTTAACTCCAGTTTTGTTTCTGTGTGGGTTTTTTTCTTTTTGTTTTTTTTAAACATTTGGCAGCTTTTGCTTGAGCTCTGGTTTATACAGCTCTTTGGATTGCTCATAGTTGGGTAGTTGCCAATGTTGTCAGATATGGTATTGATAACTTGTAGTGTTGGATGTATGTTCGGTACAGCCGTCATCAGGGGGTACATAGAACAGGGTCAGGGCTACCTAAAGCAATATAAATTATTCCCTCCTAGATTGTAAGCTCGAAAGAGCAGGGCCCTTAATCCCCTCATGTTTTGCATTGTATTGGTATTGTTCTGTCACATGTTCTGTCCCCCTCTGTAATGTACAGCGCTGAGCAATCTATTGGTGCTTTATAAATAGAAGAACTGAGCGATCACATGACCATTGATCAATCGGCTCCGCTCTGAGCGGAGAGCAGTGACTGTCGGTCACTGGCTCTCTGCTCAGCCACACCCCCAGGGGTGCCTGTAAGGCAGAGCCAGCTGTCAATCATGGTGCTGTGTGGATCCCAACAAGATTATCGGTATCCTTCCAGAGCCTGGAGCTGCTCTGCCAACTTCGCTGATAGCAGGCTTTAGCCCATTATTAGCTGCTTCTGGGTCACACATGTACAGTACACACTACGCACTCCCCCATCTGTCACAGTGGGTATAACACAGCCATCAGTCCTGGGCCAGTACAGGGGGAGGATGCTGTAAAAGCCATAAATTACTTCAATTTGCCCGCCTCATGGGACCGGCAGGGTATGTGGAAGTAATATTGTAGCTTTTATTTTATTGTCACTTTATACTCTGAACAGATTTAGGATGTTATTTTTGTCGTTGAATATAAAGGTTAGACAAAACACTGGCTCCTAACATTTTTAGCTGCCTCCTAGATTCAGAGCAAATTTGTCAAGCCCTGACATCAAGGCTGATTGATAGCCTAGCTGTGTAATGTCTTCTGAGCGTTTTGCAGGGCAGATCTCCTATCCGTTTCATTTAGAGCCTCCAATCCCTTCCCTTGAGCTGCTTTGTTTTTTTTTTTGTTTTTTTTTTTTTGTTTTTTTAATTAACTGGCAAGCAGGCAAATTTTGGCTTTATTTCTTTAGGAAGGGAAGGTTTTTAATGCATGTCTTGATGTTTTCCACTGAACTACATATTCCTTTTGGTGCTTTAATTTCCAATGTAATGCAGGAAAATATGTTGCATGTTTTTATTTTTTTTTAAAGGACACTAAAAAAGCCTGCACTTTACACATTACTTGGCCCGCTCTGGCTTTAAGCCTTTAGGTCTTTGCCACCCTTGTGATCCTGTCGCTGGCAAGAACTGCCAGTGACTGAATCACTAAAATGCACAGGGAGAACATTTATCTACTTGTATGTTTTGCTGACCGGCTGAATCAGTGAGGTGTTGGTCCTTCAGTGCTGAAAATGATGTAGAATGTAGGTTGCCAGCAAGAAAGTGACCTGCCGCTCATCCAGTCAGTGACAAATGCACGCAGGTGTCTTACCTCCCTGCTGTGCCCTCCATGGGGGGTCCTACAGGATCACAAGTGTCGCATGCGCCTAATGTCACTGACCTTTAAAAAGATAAATTCCTGATTTGCCTACCTGTCTGGGGTCAGGGTCTGTTCCCGGCTGTCCTTTGGGTGAATGAGTCCTAATGGCTTCAATGTGCAGAACATTTCAGGTGTTACAGTAAGTTTCACCTTGTATTTTATAGGACAATGATTAGATTTGATAGGTTTTTTTTTTTTTTGTCAGCAACTCCAATTTTATGCTTGCGTTCACCCCCACCCACCCTTTTGATGCATTAGGCGCAAATGTAAGCAGCCTGGATAGCTAAGCATAGCTATTTACGTTACAGCATATGTCAGGACGAAATAAAAATCCAAAAACCTATGCATTTCATCGCTGTAATACATTCACGTTTCTGTTTATCTCTTTTGAAGTCTCTGCAATACAGAAAAATAGCTTTTAAGTAACAGGAAACCAGTTAGAAGCTTACTGGCGATGTGAGATTGGTTCTTTATTTGCTTACATTAATATGTAAATAAAGCAGTTGGGTTATTTATTTCATTTTTATTCTTTTACAGAGCTGTTGGTAAGACTTGTTTGCTGATCAGTTACACCACCAATGCATTCCCTGGAGAATACATCCCAACAGTGTAAGTAAAAACAAGGTTCAGTCATCGTAGTGCTTGAACTCATTTTGTTTATAAACTGCCATTTAAAGTGGACCTGTCAGTAATTGTACAAGTCTCATTTCTGACAGGTCACTCTATTCAGCGACCGTATAATTAAAAAACGGCTGTACCATTTTCAATATTACAAACCAATTGTTGAGTTCCGTTCAAGTCAGCTTGCCCAGCCTGAAATAGTGTAGTCTGCAGGAGGAAGCATTTCCCAGTCTCCTCTCACAAAGTGATCAAACTGCAACATTGTAAACCTGCAGCAAGTGTAAAGCCTCATACACACGATGAGCATATCAGACGAAAGATTGTACCCTTTTTTTTTTCTTTTTTTTTTTAAGGCTAATCTCATATCAAAAGTGAAGAGGTTACTAAAGTTATGAAAATTCTTGTACGACAGACTATTTGGAAGTGATATAATGTATTTGTATTATATTTTTATATTCCAATGGTTTTTATTAATTTTTAAACATTTTCTAAAACAGAGGCAATAAAACACGCCCACACAGGGGCTATCAATTGCACAGAGAGAAAAGAAAAAAAAAATGTGCAAAATAAAAAGAAAAGCAGTGCTCTAATGCCAAGAGGGCAAAAGGTACACCCACACAGGGGCTATCAATGGCACATAAGGTACAAAACATTAATGCAACCGACTCTAACAACTAAAGGCAGCTGTCCAGTCACACCAAAAACAGAGAGAGAGAGAGAGAAAGGGGGAAAAAAAAAGGGGGGGGCAAAAAGCAGGGGTCCAAGAGCGCCAGTATCGAACGCCATTACATCCCCAGGCTAGCCGGGGGGGGAGTGAGTGAGGAAAGGCATATTGCAGCCACGGCTCCCATATTTTCAAGAATTTACTGTGGGAGTCGTTGCGGATACTCGACATCGGTTCGTTGAGCATCATAGTAGTCATACGATCCCGCACCCCCTGAATAGGGACAAACGGACTCTTCCAGGCCTTGTATTATATTTTTGGATGAAATCTATGGTGATTAAACAAAAATCGTATGATCTGATATCATACGAGAACATTTTTTGTGCTTGTCCTGTTAAATAATTTCAGACAAAAGCTGTGTACCAACAATCAGATTATCGTATGATCGCTTCGAAAGTGGTATTTTTCGTACGATTTTCTGATCGTATATGAGGCTTAACACTGATAACAGCCAAAAATTGCTCAGGGATTTACATGGTTGTCTTCACTGAGTCGTTATTTCAGTCCACGAAATAGATGCTGCCCCTAGTTAGTGATTGAACAAATGTGAATCTTTCTGGAATGAAAGTCTGATGGCATTGTGAGAGGTAATACATACAGTACCTGTAGTGTTACTCGGGATGTATTTAACATGGAAATATACTGAATGCTAGGGTCAGTTAAGGAAGTACATTTGTGTTAGGGCTGAAGGCCAGAGGATCCTGTTTTTATGTGCGGTGGGGTTTTTTTTTTTTTTTTTTTTTTTACCTTCAGCAGCTTTCCACTGACTTTGTATATATATATATATATATATATATATTATTTTTTTTTTTTTAAATGTTTAAGCTTATTGTGAACATAAATATTTAAATTCCAAATTCAGATTTGACAACTATTCTGCCAATGTTATGGTTGATGGAAAACCAGTTAACTTGGGCTTGTGGGATACGGCTGGACAAGAAGATTATGATAGACTGCGTCCATTGTCTTATCCACAGACGGTAAGGATCCACGTTTTGATCTTCTGTACAGCTATGTGAGCATGTGTAAAATCACTGTGTATATAATGCCCTCTGGATCGGATTGTTCCAGGTCAAGTTGTAATTCTTTGTGCCTCCAATGTAAATTTTGCTAAAAAGGCACACAAGCAATATATTTGATGCTGCCAATAGCTGTTAGGTAGCCACTGTAACAGTTGCTGTCACAGTCCAGAAGGTTTTCTGTCCTCTTCCTTGCCTTTCATTATACTGTGTATATAATGTCAAGGGTGGCTAGTGCCTGCCTTTTGTGTTTCCTCAGCTGTTTTAGGAGTGGTTAAGGTAAATATCATTTCTGTTATAAACAGAAGGCTTGGTGGCTGTTCCGCTTGTTGCGTCACTTTCTGGTCATTAGGTACATTGGGCCTTTTCTCTGTTTTAAACTTTAGTTATTCTGTAGAAATAGAGACTTGGCATATGCTAATATCACATTGATTTCAGAAGATTCTCTTGCAAATGTTAACCATCTCTAATAGTAAAGCTATATTGTGTTCAGAACACATCTTAAAGATGCCGTCTAAGCTGAAGAAATCTTAGAAAGCACCAGCAACTAGGTTAAGTTTTATGTCAAAGCGGTAGTAAAGTGTTTTTATAATTAGGCTTACCTGTAGGTACAGTAAATATCTCCTAAATGTGCACCATTTGGGAGATATTTACTTTAGCAGCGCCTGTGATGTCACCGGCGTATGCACACTACGTTCTCAATGGATGGCGTGCTGTCCATTGAGAGAGTCACGCTGTAGCCGAAGCTCCCACGCATGCACAGGAGTGACGTCGTTACGGCTCGGCCAGTCAAACAACCGCAGCCCACTAACCCAAGACAGCACTTCGCTGGAGGGCTTTGTTTTCAGGGAAGTATTTCATAATGTGCTAGTATGAGATGCATGCTAGCACATTATGCTGCTAACTTGCAGGGAAAAAGTTTATTTTTTGCAGTTTATTACCGCTGTAACTGAGGCAGGCTGGTTCCTAGACTGAGCTGACTCACTCTTAAAGTAGAACTATAAGCAAAACTTTATATTCCCCCCCCCCCCCCCCCCCCCCCCATTTTGGATAGAGCGAGGGAAGGTTATAACACCTGTAATGTTTGTTTTTGCCGTCTTTGTTTCATTGGGGAGATTTACCTTCACTTCCTGTCCCATAGCCAAACAGGAAATCTCTGAAAATTGGGGTAATCTCTTGGGGGGACCCATGGGTTATCAGAACTAGTGTCCCCATTGGAAGATTTCTCCTCCATTGCTTTACGGGGGACAACCCAAATGTGTTTTTTTTTTTTTTTTTTTTTTTTTTTTTTTTTTTTTTTTTTTTTTACTTTCACATGTAATGATAATGGTAAACAGGACAAAGAGAGGGTGAATCTCCCTAATGGGGACGCAGACAGCAATAAAAACTGGCAGGTGTTCTAATCCATCTGTACTCTATCCTTCCTTTTTAAAGAAGAATTGTAAGTTTTGTTTAATTGGATATGCTGTAAATTGGCCTTTTTAGCCTTTTACCACAGAGGAACCCTTGTAATAAGTTAACTCTTAAGATGTTTAGCAGGGCTTCCTTATCTAAAGCTCAGGATCATTGTGAACAGTATTTAGTGATTATACAATACAAAAGTATGGGCCATTTTTAGCAATAATAACTACCTAAGGAACCCCTAGCAACCTCTGAAGGATATTGGCTTTAATATTTGGAATATTTATGAAAAGTGCTAAATGATACCCTTAAGCCCCTTTCACACTGATTGTTTGATTGGGTCCGCCTATCCGTTTTTCAGGCGGACCAAATCAGATGCTCTATAATACTCTGTAGAACAGCTAAAACCAGATGGATGACCCATTCACCATCTGTCTAGTGGATAGCTCTCTATGGAGCGACTGGTGTCAGCTGTATTCAAACCAATCTGATCCTATACACGAAAAACACACTCGTTGGGAACTGTTCCCCATTCGCCTGGCAGATCAGATCGGATGGAAATGGACGGGCAGGCAGTCTGTTTACATCCGACAGCCCCATAGAAGACATCAGGCCCTGTCTGTCCGCTCTGCATCAGTGCAGAGGACACACACCTGTCATCCACTTGCTCAGTGGTGATCAGCAGAGAGATCTCCCACTGAGCAAGCGGATCTGCCCCATCTGAAAAGGGCCTTATTCTCCAAAAATAATCCATACACATCCACTATTTAATGGCCCTGTAATCTATTTTTCATGATAATATTTTCGGCCTCCTTGTAATATTCTCCATAATCTCCCGAACCTCTCCTTTCCCCCCTTTCTTCCATCTGTGTGACACAAAGCCGTGCAAGTTACTTGCGATCTTGCACACTGCTCTATGCACACTAAACATCCCCTTTTTTTAAATTTAAAATCAGAGTTCAGTGTCACTTCATATGGCCCCCATATACCGTTTATGTTCCACCTGGCTTTTGTGTATGGCAGTTGTAAGGGTGTTCTATTGTATACGTTTAGTATCCGTGTTCTACGGTGCGGAGTGACATTTGAGTGTGCCATGTCACATTCTCATCCTGATTTCCGTGTGATGGCTTTCAGCACTAGAATAAATCTTAAAAACACTTTGAAAAATGCATGAAAGCCTTCATTGATTTCCTGCAAAGGGAACTCCTTATCAGCTAGGCCAGAATCTTGTAAGGTTTTAATGTAGGGACTGTTTGTTCTCTTTACAAAGCAGAATTTATTGCTTCTTTCCATATAAACCAATTTTGTTTTCTTGAGGTTTGTGCAAAAGGCCTTCTTTCTGAAAATCTTTTCTAAATGTATCTGTCTCCCATTAGAAGGGAGCTTAGCTAATTTGAAGCACTAAAATCTGCTTTTGAATGTCAGTATTTCTTACTAGGCTTTAAGCCCGAGCCCCCAAGCTTCCAATGTTTCGGTGAGTTAATTAATACCTGCTGCTAGCAGAGGGGTTTGCAATTCGTTCGTACGTCCGTCCATGCGTGCCATCTTCTGTCGGTGTGGGTTGCAATTTGCAGAGCTTTTTGTCTTGCTTGCAAAGCACAATTAATGCTTTTCTTGTCCGTTTTTGATCTACAATCTAAAACACCTTGGTAAGGGAAAAATAAGAGGAACCTGGTAATCTCAATGTCCGTGTCCTATGTTTTCACTTCCTGATTCTAATTTAATGCACTTTATTTTTTTCCTCCTGCAATTTCTGTTTTCTGCAAGATCTTTTTTGCAGCATAATCAAAGGATTTAGTTGAAGACTTGTTAATTTACTGTCTGCTTTTCTTTTTAGGATGTGTTCCTAATTTGCTTTTCACTTGTGAGCCCAGCTTCATTTGAGAATGTCCGTGCTAAGGTAAACCTGTTGTGTGGTGTCTTCTCTCTCCCTTCCCCTCTCCCTCTCCTCCCTCTCCTCCCCCTCCCTCCCTTCTCCCCCCTTCCCTCCCTCCCCCCTCCTCCCTCCCCCCTCTCCCCTTCCCCTCTCCTGCGGTTTCCATACTACAGGAATGTGGGGATGTTTATATGTACTGGGGAAGGGGTGAGTAGTTCAGAGCCTGCTGACAAGAATCAGTGTAAATGGTACATTGACATAAATTGAGAGAGTTTGGAGCCATAGACTGTTTGGCTTGCTTGCATGACACGTGCCCTGACCAGGGTCATTTTGTGTTATGCCTTTATAGACAAAGTGGCTTAAAGCACAGTGGCTAAATGGTTAGAACTTCCGCCTGGCAGTACTAGGGCCGTTGGTTCGAATCCCAGCCATGGCACCACCTGCCTGGAGTTTGCATGTTCTCCCTGTGCCTGCGTGGGTTTCCTCCGGGTACTCCGGTTTCCTCCCACACTCCAAAGACATGCTGGTAGATTAATTGGCTCCTGTCTAAATTGGCCCTAGTATGTGTATGTATGAATGTAAGTTAGGGACCTTAGATTGTACACCCCTTGAGGGTTAGGGACTGATGTGAATGTGCAATATATATGTAAAGCGCTGCGTAAAATTGACTGCGCTATATAAGTACCTGAAATAAAATAATTTGTTCTTTAGTTTTAATTGTGGGTTATTAGAACCTTACTGGATCTTTCCTTTTAATTATAACTTATTCTGTGTATCTTTTTAAATAGTGGTACCCAGAAGTCCGACACCACTGCCCCAACACTCCCATTATCCTTGTGGGTACAAAACTTGACTTGAGAGATGATAAAGACACAATTGAGAAACTGAAAGAAAAGAAGCTTACACCCATTACGTATCCTCAGGGACTTGCCATGGCAAAAGAGATTGGTATGTTGTTTGTTTGTTAGTTTGTTTTTGTGGGTTTTATTTTTTCTGTCACTTAAAAAATATTCTCTTAGAAGATGTTTTGCTTTAGTCTAAACTGAGTGTGTCTAATGTTGTGTTTTTTTGTTGAAAATATTTGACTGGTGAAACAGGCTTTCCAGCATAGCAAAATATTGGCTTGAGTTCATCCTAAATTTCATTGTCAATTTGTCATACAACATTAGGCTAGAAACAGGTTTTATAATCCCTCCTGTTAAAGAACTAACAGAACAAGCCTTTGGCTTCTTAAAGTTCAGTGTGACAGTCTTCAGCAAATATTTGAATTTCATGTGCGGGATGGTGCTTTAACTAGTTTGCCTTTTTCAGCTCTGTGCTTTCTGTAAAAGCAATCTGGGCGACTATGGAGTGGCCTGATCACTCCTATGTGATGGCAATAAAGTTAAAGTGGTTGTAAAAGCTTGAGGTTCATGCATTTATACACACACACACACACACACCACACACACACACACACACACACACTCACACACACACACACACACTTAAATGATCACATACCCTCTGTTCTCAGCTGCCTAACGGCTAAGGGGGGGGGGAGGTGTTACTGCAGTACACTAAACTGCCCATCGAATGGCTGTGCAGGGGGAGATTGTGTCAGCACATGTCTGATCGTTGGAGGAGAGCAGGTGCAGAAAACTGACCATGCTGTGCTGTCATACCTAGTAGGATCAGTTTTTATTAGGAAAGCAGAGGAACTGGCAGAGACACCAGGGATTTCACATAAAGGAACCTGACAAAGAGAGCAGGATACTTTTTCATACAAGTACATGGTACAGCAGGCACATATCAGGAATATAAAATGTTGGGTTTACATATTTAAGAAAAACAAAATGGTATAAAGAAAATAAAATATAAAAATAATCCCCATTCTTACCCCTACACATGAACAATAGCGCATGTCAGGTGTGTATGTAAACGGCAGTTGTTCCACCCATGTTTTGGTATCACAACAAGCATAGATATAAGAGCAATAATTCAAGTTCCCTCATCTATTGGGTGAACTAAATGGGCTTGTGTCTGTCGTCTTCTTTTCTTTTTTTTTTTCTTTTTTTCCCCAACCTGACAAATTGATGTAAATTTATACTGACTCTAAACTGGTGAGCTGTAAAGGCATTTAAAGTGTTGCCTATTGATGATTTTGGGTACCATAACTTTGTGTCATTTTGCAGGCCCATGCAATTTAGTGGAATTTGGTATCTATTTACTCAACACAACCTCTTTTTTTTTATTTTGTACAAAAAATGTGGGTACTGTGTTTCTGAGCATTAAAATGCATTTAGTGTGTATGCATTCAAAAAAAATTGAATGCTTAAACAGTTATGTAAATATCGCGCAACATATAAACATTGAACTACCACCTCTGTATTCCACAGAGCCCCTTCTTTCAGGGAAAAATATGCTAGTCTGAGGGTTTTAAACTATTCTAGTCAAAATGCTGAATTTTCACATGTGCAGAAAGAAGAGAAATTGCTCTAGAAGAGAAGTAGTTGAACACTGATGTTTTTTTGATTAAGACATTTTGGATGGCAAATTATTCTGAACTGTAATGTAAAGTTTGTCAGAGTCCACAGATTAGTTGCACGCCCTACAACCAGTAATCGTTTTGTTTTTTAAATAGGGACTCACTAGATAGACATCCATGAACCTTGTGAACATTAAAACACATTTTACAGGTTTCTACTCCCACAAAAAGCAAACATAAGTTCAAACTGGAATCCTATAAAATGTTATCTCAATCTGTAAACTGACAAAGTACTAGAAGAAACTGTACAAAAGAATATGAGTCGTAGGATGTGTATTGATATGTTTTTAATACGGCAAAGTAGCTTCTGTATTATAGCATGTCATCAGCTGACATTTACCCGACTTCTATTTGTCCTTTCCTAAAATCTGAAATGTCCCCCTTTTATACAGCCTTTAGGTCCATTATCTTAACCACTCAATCCCCAGGCAAATTCTGACACTTTTCACATGTAAAAGTCAGCATTTTTTTGCTAGAGTATTTCTTAGAAACCCCAAATATTTAATATTTTTCTTGAAAGCAGAGACTGGAGATTAAAAAAAAATTTCAACAATCACTATTTTAATGTTGCACGATATTTACGCAGTAATTTTAAAATGCTGAATAAATACCTAACATGTCACACTCTAAAATTGCCCAGGCTTATGAAATGGTGACAAGCTATAGTACCTTTTTAAAAAAAAATCTCCAGAGGTGTCATTTTAAAAGCCTTTTAAGGTTACAAGTTTACAGTTACACAGGAGGTCTGGTGCTAGAATTATTGCTCTTCGTCTGACATTTACATTGTGACCTCACATGTGGTATGATCACCATTTTACATGTGTGCTGGGCTTGTGTGAGTGTTCGCACGTAGGAATGAGCACTTTAAAAAATTAAATATTTTGCAAACAAATACTTGTTCATAAACTTAGGCCCAAATGTATACGGCTACATTTGTTTTGTGAAAAGTAACCCAAATATTTTAGTCTGTAGGAAAGTTAGTCTACAAAATATGTGTGTGTGTGTGTGTATATATACAGTATCTCACAGTAGTGAGTCCACCCCCCACATCTTTGTAAATATTTTATTCTATCTTTTCATGTGACAACACTAAAGAAATGACACTTTACATTGTAGCAAAGTAGTGAGTGTACAGCTTGTATAACAGTGTAAGTTTTCTGTTCCCTCAAAATAACTCAACACACAGCCATTAATGTCTAAACCGCTGACAACAAAAGTGAGTACACCCCTAAGTGAAAATGGCCAAATTAACCATTTTCCCTCCCCAGTGTCATGTGACTCGTTAGTGTTACAAGGTCTCAGGTGTGAATGTGGGGAGCAGGTGTGTTACATTTGGTGTTATCGCTCTCACTCTCTCATACTGGTCACTAGAAGTTAAACATGGCACCTCATGGCAAAGAACTCCCTGAGGATCTGAAAAAAAGAATTGTTGCTCTACATAAAGATGGCCTAGGCTATAAGAACATTGCCAAGACCCTGAAACTGAGCTGCAGGATGGTGGCCAAGACCATACAGCGGTTTAACAGGACAGGTTCTGCTCAGAACAGGCCTCGCCATTGTCGACCAAAGATGTTGAGTGCACGTGCTCAGCGTCATATCCAGAGGTTGTCTTTGGGAAATAGACGTATGAGTGCTGCCAGCATTGCTGCAGAGGTTGAAGGGGTGGGGGTTAGCCTGTCGGTGCTCAGACCATATGCCGCACACTGCATCAAATTGGTCTGCATGGCTGTCGTCCCAGAAGAAAGCCTCTTCTAAAGATAATGCACAAAAAAACCAGCAAACCATTTGCTGAAGACAAGCAGACTAAGGACATGGATTACTGGAACCATGTCCTGTGGTCTGATGAGACCAAGATAAACTGATTTGGTTCAGATGGTGTCAAGCGTGTGTGGCAGCAACCAGGTGAGGAGTACAAAGACAAGTGTCTTGCCTACAGTCAAGCATGAGAGTGTCATGGTCTGGGGCTGCATGAGTGCTGACGGCACTGGGGGGCTACAGTTCATTGAGGGAACCATGAATGCCAACATGTACTGTGACATACTGAAGCAGATCATGATCCCCTCCCTTCTTAGACTGGGCTGCAGGACAGTATTCCAACATGACAACCCCAAACACCCTTCCAAGATGACCACTGCCTTGCTAAAGAAGCTGAGGATAAAGGTGATGGACTGGCCAAGCATGTCTCCAGACCTGAACCCTATTGAGCATCTGTGAGGCATCCTCAAACTGAAGGTGGAGGAGCGCAAGGTCTCTAACATCCACCAGCTCCGAGATATAATGGAGGAGTGGAAGAGGACTCCAGTGGCAACCTGTGAAGCTCTGGTGAACTCCATGCCCAAGAGGGTTAAGGCAGTGCTGGAAAATAATGGTGGCCACCATTACATTGTAGCAAAGTGTCATTTCTTCACTGCTGTCACATGAAAAGATAGACATTAATGGCTGTGTGTTGAGTTATTTTGAGGTGACCGCAACTTTACACTGTTATACAAGCTGTACCACTCACTACGTCACATTGCAGCAAAGTGTCATTTCTTCAGCGCTGTCACATGAAAAGATAGAATAAAATATTTACAAAAATGTGAGGGGTGGACTCACTTCTGTGAGATACTGTATATGTATGTGTATATATTATGAAAATCGAGCAGTCATGATGTACTGACGGCCTATCTCATTTCTTGAGGCCCAAAAATGTCAGGACAGTACAGATATCCCCCAAATTACCCCTTTTTGGAAAGTAGACAGTCTGAGATATTTAGTAAGAGGCATGGTTAGTTTTTTTGAAGTTTTTATATTTTTTGTCATATAACTGGCATGGCGGTGGTCGGTTACACTGACCGGTGACAGTACAAAAAAAATACATACTTTTTTTTTTTTTTCCCCCCCCTTTACATTCATTTCCAATGAATTTCATTGCTATAAGCAAACCTTTAACTGATTTGAAATCGATTCAATCAGTTTGTGACACAGATGGGCTGTGATTGGCCCAGTCTGTACCATGTGATCACTGTGACCAATCACAACTAGCAACACAATTGTATACAATGGATGGCATGAAAGGAAGCCATCGATTGATTATAATTGTGATGTGACCTGCTGTGATTGGTCACAGCGGTCACATGGTATTGGCAACAGGCTGGTACACAGATCATTCATCAACTGTTTCCGATGAACACAGCCATTGACAGATCTCGCTGCAACGCAGGACCGACGGGTGTGCTTGAGGCGGCGATTAGGGAGGGTGTCATATGACATCCACTCGGATCGACTTAAAATGATGACCAAGCAGGACTTTCTATAGGCTGGGCTTGAACTGATTAAAACTTTTTTTACTGTTCCTTACACTGGGAACAACATCCCTTGTGATGGCATGTGCCTTGACAGGTCTTCTTTATGGAGAGAACTGGTATCAGTTACGCCCCAGATCTCTGTTCTGCCCTTGAAAGTATCCAATCAAACCAGAATTGGTTTGATCAGATGCTTTACGAAACCAGTAACTGCTTAAGCGACAAGGATTTTGTCATAAAGTTTCTTGCATCAGAGGGGAGGCAGGTTCCTCCCCTCTCAGTGCACTACTACACCAATCAGCAGAGGTACCGGGCTCCCCTGTGTGAACATTTGCACAGTGCCCGGTAAAGGGGGGGCCCTGTAGAAGTGATTTGGTGGCGGTGTAATAAATGAATAGGGACACCAACAAGATGACTTCCAGCCAATTACTAGAAAAAAATATTAACCTAACAGTTTGACTGGCCTTTCATTATACAATTTTCCTTTTAGGTTTACCAAAAGTTTATAATACGAGGTGAAACCTAAACCCTTTCAATTTGTATGTAATCAGGACAGGCCCTTGCACTACATAGTTGAAGGTAAATCTAAAGGAAATTCAATAAAAAAAAATGGTATTCTGTATGTGCCAGCTTTATACATTGTCATTGGCTTTGGTAAAGATCATTCTTTTCTCAGATGTCAGTAGAACAAGGAAGTTCATTTTTCAGTCATTGACTTCTGTAAAGGCTTTGCCAACGTCCGGGGTTGTCTGCCAATATTACCTTTTTACCTTTTTAGATGTTTGTCATTGCTAAATGGGAAATCCCCAGAGATAGAGGAAACAATTGTCTTACTGTGGCTTTCTCCTGACAGGTGCCGTGAAATACTTAGAATGCTCAGCACTTACGCAAAGAGGGCTGAAGACTGTGTTTGATGAAGCAATAAGAGCCGTTCTCTGCCCACCACCAGTGAAGAAGAGGAAGAGAAAGTGTCTGATTTTGTAATCCTTGCACTCCCTCTCCTATCCCAGTCCCAGACTCCAAAATGCCAACCCCCAGTCCTATTTGTAAGAATTCATTCTCTGCCTATAAAATCTTAAATATAAAATCCATTAAGTGACACATCTTTTTCAGACTCTACTAAAATCCTTTCCTGAATGATAGATCAGTCTATTTAGCCTTATTTTTCTGAAAAACGGTTTCTCCTTTTTGCTTGAACTAATTAAATGTTGCCAAAACGCCCACTCAGCTCAGTTTCTATATTTTCTGCTACAAACATGAGCCATTGAACCTATAATAGAGACATGACTTTTTACTCAGATCTGATTTTCTGGATGGAGGAAACAAAAAAAAAACTGACAGTAGGCGAGAGCCTTACTGCATATATTAAACACTTTATTAATCTTAATTCACTGTATTGCATTGTAAATCAAAATTGTTATTTAGGAATGTTAGATCAATTATGTATCTTTTTACTGCTTGAGTTCAAAATAAAGTTTTGGTTAAAGGGTACTAATCTGCTCCTTTGGACAAAAACTATTTAGGCAAAAATGTAAAATAGGTTTCAGGATTTTACTAGCGAACATAAGCAACAGTATTTAAAAGTGACACTACTGCTTTGAGACTTTTTTTTTTTTTTTTTGTTTTGTTTTGGGTTTTTTTAATAAGAATTTTTGGTTAACAACTTTCCTTTTTTATAAAGGAGAATGGTTAGTGTTTTACAGCCCTTGGCTTGTTAACTTTGGAGACCCGAGGTCTGTGTGAACCCTTAGTCTGGCATTGAAACCTGGTGCCCGGAGTCCAGCTTAGTGGGGGTGCAGCAAGCTCTGCCTTGAATAAGGACTTAGACATGATGCAGCCCTCTTCTACCAGCTAAGTAATTGTGGGTTAAAAGCTGTATTGCTCTGCAACTTCCTCCATTAATAATTGGAAAGTGTTGGTCTTTCATAGAGATCCTTGTTTTACCCTACTCAAGAGCTTATTGTGTAAGGCCAGGCCCTTATTAATTGCTTCTGTGTCTACTACTCCTGGACAGGGTGTATCATTGGGGGGCAGGGATGGCTGAAGCATTCTATGCTGGCTGCTGGAGTCATTACAGTCATTGATCTTAAAGTTGGATGTATCTTGTGCTCTGCATGCATCCATAGATGCTTCCAGCTCATTGTCCATAAATGTGGACATCCACGACAATTATATAGGACCATTACCTATGGCAGGTGCCTTGTAGACTGCAGAGGGGCAGTGAAATGCTCTCGACTACCAGTCCTAAGATGTGTTATAAATGCAGTAGAAACGGTTGCTGTAGTTGAGTATTTGATTTCAGGTAATCCCCACGGCCTCTTTCACATAGTCAGCTTGGTTCCTTTCTGGGACAGCCAAACACTTTGGAAATGTATGTAATTGGTTGATGTACAGAATTGCTCTGGTTTCTCTATTCCAGACTACATGGTAGTGCTGTTCTGTTCTGATCAACCACTATATTTGTGCCTGTCAATGGGTTGGGGATAGGACCCTTCTAGGTTACAACCATCATTCCCACAGATTTTAATATGCACAAGCTTTCTATGTTGGCTTGCTCGTAGAATATCTTGTATTTTAATATCTTTCTAACTATTGTAGCTTGGAATTTTTTGTAGTTTATGGGAAGTTATTCCTAATACTTTTCCTTATGTTATTTTGCGTATAAAGGTGTGCGTTTCATGACCTTTTCTGTAACACTAGGTGTACAAATCATGTGAACCTGCTATACACAGTAACTCTTTATGTTCTTTCTGCTTATTTTCTTTTTTGCATAGTCTATATAATCTTACTTTACAAGATTAGCAACTAATTCATACTGTCATCTTGACATCTCAGTGAAATGATCATTTTTTTTTTTTCCTTCTATTGGCTCTGTCCCATAGGGTGTCTGAGGTCCTAATTATAGAGCAAGTATTAATGATGCACACCCCTAATTAAACACTATGAGACATGACATATGACTCAACCTTTCTACAAAGAACAAATTCAAAGCGCATTTGAGAATGTTGCAAAAAAAAAAATTGTGAACAGTGTTTTTACATTGATCTTTTGCTAATGCAGTTTAGTGTTTTACATGCATGTTTGAATTAATAAATCCTTAAACTACAAAAGCTTTTGTTTTTATTTATTTTTGAGCTGTAAGGATTAACACTGGCACTGTCCAACCTGTTTTCAGTTGCATTTAGAGGATATTCTAAATGCATGTAATGACTTTTCAATGGTGCCATTCACGCCGTGCGTTTTTTAATTCTGGTCAGTTTAACTGCATGTGAAGAAAATCTAATTATGTGGGGGTGAATTTACTAAAGGCAAATAGACTGCACTGCAAGTGCAGTTGCACTCATATTCTTTTTTTTTTTTTTTTTTTTTTTTTTTTTTTTTTTTTTTTTTCAGAGCTTAGTAAATGCAGTAAAGCTCTGCTAATTTCCATTATCCAATCGTGTGCGGACATGCTTTCTCTTTTTTTTTTTTTTCCCCTTTTTATTTCCTTCTTCCTTGCACCTGATTCTTTACAAAGTGAAGCTTCACCACATTCACTAAGCTATGAGGAAACTGAATGCAACTGCACTTGCAATATTTATTTACCTTTTAGTAAATCCACCCCTGTGTATCTAGGATACGATTACACTCGCATGTATACGTGTTGTAAACCAGGAACATTTTAAAAGGCGGAAAAAGTTCTTATTTCCCAAAGAACGTCTGCAGAAAAGCTAAATGCAGGCGTGCAAGTGTGAATAGATGTGTTAAATTGAAGGGGAATGATTGCATAAAGCAAAGTAAATATTTAGATATACAGTTGACTTTGACTTCCCTAAATAGCTATATATAGATTGCGTTGGGGTTTTTTGTTGTTTTTTTTTAGCTTCATGGCAAAGCTTTTCTTTTTTTTTTTTTTTTTGTGTTAAATTACAGATTGTACAGAAGTAGACCATAACGACGAGAGGAGTGATATCTTATATGTAACCAAAGGATATAGAGTGATTTTGTACAATGTGGCAAAAGGTTTTTGCAAAATCCCTCACAAATATAGTTCATGAGAAATGCACACATTGGCTAATATGCAGTAGGAAAGTAAAGCTAAACAGACCTCTACACCATTCTGCTCCCCCTGCTTGGGAAGGGAACCAGCCAGGAGAGAAGAGGGCACTGCTAGTAAGGTATGTGGATGATTATAACCGTAACTAAAAAGAGAGAAACAAATTGTAGGGGTCAAGTTAAACAAAGAGCGTAATGTGAATGTCCTGTTGGGACTTGGAGGAAAGGTGAGAAGTTAGCAGGAAGATTCCAGTGGGAGCTGGGTGGTGTAGGTTGCTCCCCGGGAGGGTGCGGGGAGGTAGGGTAACTGGATATAGCCTTTAAGAATATAGCTGTTATGCTTAGGGATTTGTCTTCCTTGAGAGAGTGTTTAAAAAGGCATCTGTGAAATTAAATGTTGCATTGTCCTCCAAGTTGGTCTGAATTGTGGAGTTGTGGCGGTGAGGTCATCCATGTTTAGAGAACCATAGAACTTCTGTAGGGAGAAAAGTCTTCCATAAAATCGGAATACATGCCTTTGCCACATTTATCAGATGGATAGTCAGGGAAGACTTGTATTTTATAATGGGCCGCTACATTAAATGCAGAAGACATGCTACCGGGTTATTGCTCAAGTCTGCAGAGGTGAGTTGTTCAATCCACTCTGGAAAGATATCACTGATGCCTATTAAAGTTTTTAGGGCGTGTGCAACATAGTACCCATTTCCTCGCTATACCACCTGCACTTATCTGGAACATGAGGCAAGATTTTATGGAGTAGGGTAGGCACCACTTAACTTAAATCTTGTACCCCATCTCCTGGAGCTGATTAGCCATAGCTGATTTATGGGAAAAAAAACTAAATTTTGTGCTGTTCCTGGAGGGGTAAATTGGATGTGAAGTCCAGATTCCTATTTTTGGAGATGGGGTGAAATGAACTCAGTACCTAGCGTTAAGAGGGATGTTTAATGGCAGGGAGGGCACGGTAAGAAAGCTTCCCCTTACGGCAGAGTGATTTGAATGTTATCCGAGGCCATATTATCCCTCTCCTCTGAAGAGCAAAAGCAAAAAGTGGCCTGGTTGTGACAGGCTCCAAAAATCTAAAGGGGTTGAAGACTGCCAAGTCTGTGTGGTATGGTATCCTGTTCATAAACAGGAGATCCAAAAATTCCGACCTGCTGCACGAGGGCAGTCTGCATAGGTTTTTTTTTTTTTTTTTGTTCTTTTTAACAGTGCTGTATAGAAAAGTATCCCCTCACTCCCCCTTTTTAAAATCTTTTTTTTTTTTTTTTTTTTTTTTTTTTATTTGCAGCCTGAAATGAAAACTGTTTTTTATCCAGCAGCATTTACCCAGGGACTAAAATGCTCCGGGAATGTATTTTTTCTGGAATGTTGGTGTTATATCTTTCACTTGGATGTTATAAGTTGCACTTAATAACTACAGCTGTATAAGATAAAAACTCTTCATTCCAGGCTGTGAAGCAACAAAATGTGATTTATTTTAAAGGGGGTGATTCTTTTCTATACCCACTGTATGTAACCCTCTGTTCACATCAAGCCCAACTTTGAAATTGTACGACTTATAGTGAAGTTTTCAAAGTCGGAGAACCTGCCAATTTCAGGTGTGATTTGCAAGACATCTGATACAGAGGTCTATGCAAATCACACCAAAAGTAGTGCATGTACTACTTTTGAAATTGGTGCAGTTCTGACCAAGTCGGAACCCTACCGATATGATCGCTCCAATTGCGAACAATAGGGTGAGACTTGGCATGCAATTTGCAAATCACATGCCAAGTAGCATCCAGTGTGAACCAGGGCTAAGTATACTGAGACCTGGCTCAGGCTTACCAATAACCAGAGTAACTGGAGGAGTAGAGGGAGGTATTGTGGAAGAACAGAAGGCTTTGCTAATGATTGAGATGGTACAACCCAGGGTAGGATGGTCTCCCAGTTCAGGGGGTAGTAGT